CAATCAGAAACTCTATTTCAATTGAAATTGCAGTTGCGTTCCTTGTATACCCAACGACTTTCTGATTCGAGCAGGACGAGGAAAGAGAGGGAGAGAACGTGATATGGGTTGGGTCGTGCATATCGGCTTGGCATCTAGCAGGACGAGGAGAGAGAAGGAGAAGATGTGATCTGGGTTCGGAGCGAGGAGAGAGGGAAAGAACGCAAGCATTAGGGAGAGAACGAGAGCAAAGACAGGACACGAAAGCAGAAAGAGAGGGAGAGACAGAGACAGAGACAGAGAGATGAGGAACGGCGAATGAGACAACATTGTGAGGAAGGAGTTCTTAGCAATCCCATGGTTCAACGCCAGACTAATTTGGACGACCTAATGAGGCCCGGAGTCCACACGAGTTGGGGCTAGTCTCATTTAAGTTAGTCCCTAAGCATACCAAACATGGGACAATAATCCTAGCCAGTCCAATCACACTTAAGAAGGTGAAACAAACACACCATGTTGAGCAAAAATTGTACACAATATGTAAACAAATAATTCACTCGACACAATTTCACATTCGTTCATTTTTTTGAAGAGGGTTTTTATTAATTCGAGTTCGATCCATTTTAGGCTATGGACCTATTAATTACAACCTTTCTTTTGGGAAATGAATATCCTTTGATTCTAATTTGAATAAATCGAAATTTGTGGATTTGGGTGTTTATTTGATTTTGCGACTACACCTAGGTTAAGCCCTAGATTGCCTATGTACCCTCGTTAAGGGATCAAGTCACTCGTAGTTCATGATATTTGGAATTTGTTTGGACTTAATGCCTTGTGCAGTTTTAGCTCATGCTTGCAATGAGCGTTCGATGTCTTGTGCAGTTTTAACTCGTGCAGGCAAAGACTTTGAGCCATTGGAGCAGTTGATGCCTTATACAGTTTTAGCTCGTGTGAGTGAGGACTTTAAGTCATTGAAGCGTTTGATGCCTTATGCAGTTTTAGCTCGTGTGAGCGAGGACTTTAAGTCATTGAAGCGTTTGATGCCTTATGCAGTTTTAGCTTTTGTGGGCAAGGACTTTAAGCCATTGGAGCGATTAATGCCTTGTGCAGTTTTAGCTCTTGCGAGCGAGGACTTTAAGCCATCAGAGCGTTTGATGCAGCTTCATGCCATTTGAGACCTGTTGCGGCTTTATGCCATTTGAGGTTTGATACAACTTCATGTCATTTGAACCTTGTTGTGACTTCATGCCAGTTGAATTTGGAGCGTGGCTTTGTGCCATTTGAGTGCCTAAGTGAAATTAATTCACTAATATTTTGACTTTGGCTCCGTGTAGTATCTTTGGCTTGGTATCATTTCTTGCCCCATGTTTAACTTTAACTTGATGGGGGTCATACTTGTGATAAACTCACATGAAAGCTATTTTAATTTTTTTTTTCTCTTCCTTTACAGCTTCATTCTTTAATAGGTTTCATAGGAATTCAATCCTATTTGAAATAGGACTTTGAAAGCATGAAAGTTGGACCTTTTTATTGTGAAAAAGATTTATTTTACTTGTCTTTCCTTTTGAGTTTTAAAGTCTTTCCCTTCCTTTGTTTTTGGCTTGTAGCCTTTGTCTCCATGCTTTAAACTTTGAAACCACTTTTAACAGGGGGCTTGCTCATTTGGAAACCACCATATGCTAAGCTTTTTTATTTTAAAACAAGCTTTCTCCTTTTTCCATGAACTAGTTCACATGCCCATGAATTAATCCAAGCTACAGCCTCCTGTTTGGATTTGTTCTTGTGGGATCAAACCAATCTTCAACTAAAGTCACGACAAATTTTCTCTTCACCTTTTTATTTGCTTGCTGGAGATCATTTCTTCCCATTCCTAACTTAGATAGGATTTGAATGAAACGTGGTGTTGAGTAAAACTTGTACACAATGTGTAAACAAATAATTTACTCAATACAATTTCATCATTCTTCATTTTTTGAAGAGGATTTTTATTAATTTGAGTTGACTCGGTAATTTAACAGGAGCTTGATCTATTTGTTTGGATGTTGCACGAATTCACTAATTTGAGATAGTAAGTCCATTGAGCTTTGTGCTTTTAAATGGTTCGTGTCTACGGTATTTGAAGTGATTGACATCGTCTCCTTACCCGTTTGTATTTGTACTCGACAACGGGTAAGCTTGGATTTGTCTTGTCATGGTCCCTTTGCCATTTTGTCGTCATGCTTTTTGATTTATGCACAACATTTTGAAGGAAGGGGATCATGTTCGTAGTGCCCATGTGATTGGCACATCAACTTTGTTTTCTTCTTTTGTTGTACCTTTTTCCTTTCTCCATTTCTTTGTTTAGGATCCAACAGACTTTTGAGAAGTCTAATTAATAATTAAATACCGACACTTGTTTCTTTGCCAAAGCAAAGTCTTTGAAATGACTTATTTTCTTCTTTTTGGTTCCCACGTGAGTGTCAATTCCCAATTAATTTAGGAATATTGCAGGCTTCCCGTTTCTTCTCCTTGTAGACTTGGATTTCTGAGTCCAAGCAGGACTTCACGTGCGTCAGGAAAAGCAAGCCACATTTAGCTTCCTAAAAACATCTGGAGCACTTTTCTTCCTTTAGAGTGTTTAAACTCTGTTGTATATACTTTTCCTTCTTTGTGCAGAGAAACACATTTGAAGTTGGAATAAACGTAATTGCCCATCTTGCTTTTTTTCTTCAGGTATCCCAAGCAAAAGACTTCTTTGATTTTTTCAGAAGCAGAGCTCTTAAATGACTTGGGTTGCTTGGGTTTTGCTGCGATGCGTGTCTCTCTCTAAGAGATAGGAGTCCGTGGTGTTGACATTGATTTGGGGTTTTTGAGACAGAGGCAGATTGTCTGCCTTTCTGTTTAGGTACCCTTCTCATTCCCTCTTATTTTATGTCGTCACGATTAAGCCACGTTAACATTTTATATTAATTTTTTATAGAGATAATAAGACAAAAATCAATAAGAATATTAAATATTGACGTGGCTTAACCGTGATCGTATAAATAAGAGGATGGGAAGGGCACGCAAACAGGAGGGCAGACAATCTGCCTTTCTGTTTAGGTACCCTTCTCATTCCCTCTTATTTTATGTCGTCACGATTAAGCCACGTTAACATTTTATATTAATTTTTTATAGAGATAATAAAACAAAAATCAATAAGAATATTAAATATTGACGTGACTTAACCGTGACCGTATAAATAAAATGATGGGAAGGGCACGCAAACAGGAGGGCATACAATCTGCTTCCTTTGTAGACGGAGGTAGATTGTCTGCCTTCTTATTATGGTGCCCTTCTCATCTCCTCTTATTTGTGCGATCACAGTTAAACCACGGTAATATTTTATATTGATTTTTTATAAAGATAATTAGACAAAAAATAATAAAAATATAAAATTTTGGTATGATTTAACCATAATCGCATAAAATAGAAAGAAATAGAAAGGACAACATAACAGGAAGGTAAACAATTTGCCTCCATTGGAGACTTGGTTTAAGTCTTTGGTGCCCGTTTGATTCATTTGAGCCAAAAACATGAGTCTTTCCATAAAAAAAAAAAAAAAAGAAAAAATGAGCAAAAATGAATTGATGGTTTTGACAAGAATGACCCATCTTTTCCAATAGTCAAAGCCTAATGCATTTAGGGTGAGACCTAGAATCCTACGTGATGAGCAACTTTTCTTTCTTCTATTTGCCTTGTTTTTCATGGGAAGGGATCATTTTCATTTTTTTATTTTCACTATTGAAGCTTGCAGCCAAACCTACCCACCGAACGAGATGTTTTCTTTCTTCTTTCTTTCTCCCGTTTTTTTTTTAGTCTCTACTGTAGCTTTCTTTGTTCTTTTTTATCCCAAATTTAGTGAGATCTTTAGAAAAGACATATGACAAAACAGCAGCTTCGGTCCTTGAAATCACAGTGGAGATTGCTTTGTTCATCTGTATCACTTTTTCACTTCTCATATTTGTACGACAAGAAAATAAAAGAACGGCGATGAGTTGAGGTCACCCTCCCCGTATTTGCTGCAACCATCAGAGTCAATGGTTTATTCCCCTTAAGTGAGTGCTCAAAACAAAAGGGGCAACATGACTTTCTTTTCTGCTAATTGTAAAGAACTCGCAGTTGTTGGCTTGGCTTTTTCCAGGACTTGTCACTAAGGAAGAAGCATAACGCTCTCTACTGCAATAATAGCGTTGTCGTTCTGCACGGACTGCTGCATCTCCGCTGCTTTTAGCCTTTTTTTTCTTCATACTACTTCCATTCGTGGGAGTGATGACGAAGCGATGGAAAACACTATGTCTGTCCGCTGTCTTATAACCATCATCTGCGACTTGGTCCCCAGAACTTTTGAAGTTGTCCCTTGGTTACTTTTTTACGAATCAGGACTGCACTTCTTTGGCTATCGAGTCTTTTCTTCCACTTCGAGTCTTCTTTCTCCAAGCGGTGACGGCAGTTTTTTCTGTTTTTTTTTTGGTTGGAAATTTTGAGTAGAATTTCATTATCCCATATTAATCACCACCATAAGATCTTCTCACTTTACAAAACTTTGTTCCTTATAGAAAATAATTGAAGTATGGACTTGAAGAATAAAATTGGGCTGCTCTGATATTAGACTTTAAGATGTGCTAATTAATTGATAATTAATATATAATTAATTATAATTAATTATAATTAATATATAATTAGTTGATAATTAATTCAATACTCATCATTCCACATGAAATTTGAAATGTAAAAGAACGCAAAAAGAAAACACCTTATATGTGAAAATATCTCCAAACAGAAGCATCCCTTCCTCATACCTGTTACGAATATGCATAATTATATTATATATACATCCATATGCATGATATATAGAACACAGAAAATATCAAATTCTTCTTCTACATTACTAAATCTTCTAACTTGATCATTGAATCATGATGAAGTAACTGTCTGTAGAACTACAAACACTGAGTATGACGAATTTTCTGTTTCAAGGACATTGTGGTACGCAAACTTTGACTTTCAAATTGCCTGTTTTACATTTTTATTTTGTTCATGCGCTGTTAATTTTTATATTTACATTTATTATTTATTAGCATGTATGATTATATCATATATCCAACATTTTTTTCGTTCTACGCCATGGCTGCGTCTTTGTCCCTCGTGATTTGCTTGCTGCTCCGTGTCGCTTCGCCGTATCTTGGATACCTGGGACTGCCTTCTACTGCCGTTGGCTGAGACGAATGAGGAGGCTGCGGTCACTAGACTCACGGATGGCGCTCCCGTTGGGCAGAGATCTTTGGTTGGGTTCTCGCAGGGTAGAGAGGAAAAGTTGCGGCTGTCTGGACCTTAAGGAAGTCGGCGGCTGCTGCTACCTTGTTCGAACTCATCTCTTACGTCGTTGTCGAGTTTGGACATCATTGCTAGGCATAGTAGACCGGCGTTGCTCAGTTCCTTTCTTCCTCTGGGAGTTTTGCCTTAGTGTGTTTTGTGATCTCCGGAAGAGGTTGAGAAATTTGGGAAAGGGTTTGGGCTTTGTATCTCTGGAGTTCCACCTCCATTTTTGCTTCGTGGAATGGGAGAGGATGAAGAAGCCAAGTGCTTCTTCTTCTACAAAGTACAGAAATAACAACGAAATACAGAGGAAAGATTAACCAAAAAGAAAAAAAAAGGATTTATACCTTTTGAGTCGTTGCCTTTCCTTTTTGTCGTCCACCCCTCCTCTGTATTCTTTTGTTCCTCTTCCCGTTTGTTCTCTCTTTGTGCCCCACAATTTCTGCAGCGTTTCTGTATCTCTCCTTCGTTGCTATCTTTTCCTTTTTTTTTTTTTTTTTTGGTTGTGCCTTCGTTGTTTGTTCTCCTGCCAAAGGACTATGAGTCTACGAGGACACTCATAACAGGGCTTCTTTGCCAAAGAAGCGTAGTCTTTTGCAAGTTCATCAGAAAGTGATGCAAGGTTTTGTGTTCGTGAGTGTTATCTTTCCGTATTGTTATAGTGTGGGGTAGGTTTGTATTGTATTTTTGTTGCGTTTGTAATCATTTATTTTCTTAACCTATGGTGTTCTTCGTTTTATTTAATTAATATAATACTTATTACCTTGAAAAAACCACTTGAAATTTAATAAAAATTTGTTGTGCTCCGTATATATACATGCTTCTAACAAAATCACTAACGAGCATATGAGTCATAGAAAACGATTTCTGAAATAGCACCTGTCATATGCTTCTTCATCGAAGCGCACAAAAAGGAAAGTAAAGCCCAAAAAAACTCAAAAAAAGGAGAACCAAGGTGTGCAAGTCGGGCTTCCAAAATAGATTTGGGCGTCATAATAAAACCATTCGAAACCCAACAACGTGGGCCCAAACATGTCGATGGGCCTTCTCTGATCCAATAATTAATTTAAAAGCCCACAAAACCGCCGTCGGGAATTATAGTCAACTTTTCTAAAACGAGAGATTTTTGAAAATGGATCGGAGCTAGAAACACTCCAACGTCCCCAATCCGACAACAAAAATCTCCTTCTCCGTCACAGAGCTCGACCTGCGAGTGCTCCGCGTAGCGAGAGATAGAGGGAGACGACGCCGTTTTGTCTCTGAAATTACGGTTGTGTGTGGCTGTATCTGCAGCTAAAGCCCTAGAACTGTTTTGATTTTCCTCCCGAATTCGATTTCTCTTGAGTTTTTAGGGTTTATGCGATGCTGCAAAAGGTCAGAAATTGGGTAATTAGTGAGGAATTGGAGGAGTAGGTATGTGTTGCTATTTGGTTCTAGGTTTGAAGTGATTTTATTCGGGTTTTTCTGTGAGAGAAATTGATGGAAGGGGGAAGGAGAATCTCGGCGAGTCCTCGGCCTTGCAACGGTAGGAGGGTGGTGGCGAAGAAACGAACTCGTATTGGTGGGGTTGATGGGTTCGTCAACAGCGTTAAGAAGCTCCAGAGGCGCGAAATCAGCTCCAAGCGCGACCGTGCTTTTACTATAAGCGATGCCCAAAAGAGGTTTCGCAATATTCGCCTCCAGGTAATATTTATTTTTTGAATTTATTTATTTAATCGAAGGAAAGCTTGGGGCTTTGATGCTTGTTTACCTCATCTGCTTGGTTCGATGGTTTCCATTTAATTCAAAAACCAAAATTAAGTAATGGGATTTTGTTGTTAAATTATTAGGATGCTAGATCCTCTCACAAAAACTTGAAAAAAGGGGATTTTGTAATGAATTATTTGCTTTTTTAGTTTAATTCTGATTTAGCTTTCTGTTAAGTGCCCTACCAGAAAATACCCCATAGTGTTACTTCTGGGTGTTAGGAGCATTCAGTGGAATTCAATCAACGTAAACATGCTTAAGCTTCTGTGTTCGTGAGTGTGTGATTGTTTTCGTTAATACTTCCTGTTAAGTTTGCGCATATATGTCTTTTATCCTCGTGAGGTTCTTACCATCAAATTGGTTGTACACGTTCGGAGTCCATGCCTTGTTACTAACGCCAACATTTGAAAGCATGCTGTATCATAAAGCCTAGATGCAACGATGCGGTAAGAAAGTTTTGAGTTTCAAGGTTGGAGATTTGAATTTGTGCAGTCAAGCTATTGTGTACGCATGCTCTCTTCAATTTTGAATTGTGTGGAAATATTTTTTTTTTCCACTTGTGGTGTTAGTGTGTGTTTGCGATACCTAAGTTCTGCTTGTCATGATATTTGGATGCATATGAGGAATATGATACGCATGATCCTAAGGGTCATTGTGCCATGGTTCTGCCTTTCCTGCGAAAGAGGTCCAAAATTATTGAAATTGTAGCAGCACGTGACATTGTGTTTGCCCTCGCACAATCCAGTGTTTGTGTGGCATTTAGCCGAGGCAGTAGCTGTATTATCTGTATTTCTGAACTTATATTGCATGAACTAATCTTATTACGTATAAATATCTGTATTTCTGAACTTATATTGCATGAACTAATCTTATTACGTATAAATATCTGTATTTCTGAACTTATATTGCATGCACTAATCTTATATTGTTGTATGCAGAAACCAACCAGAGAACATGCTTTCTGAATGTGAGTCCTGATGAAGTGATAAGAAACTTGTTTTATAATAAAAACAATGACTCACTTATCACTGTTTCGGTTTATGCCTCAGACAACTTCAGTTTCTTTGAAATGCAGAAGCACAAGGATCGAGTACATATCTCTCTACCTTCCCCCTCCCCTCCAGACACAAAAAAAAAAAAAAAAAATCAAAAAATCAAAAAATCAAAAGAAACAACAGTGTAGTTGTCCAATTTACGTTATCTTCTTTTATTTCTTTCTAAACACACTATAAAATTATATGATCCAGATACATAAGAAAGGGTAAACCAGATGCTGGATTCGCTCTTTTTGAATCCGAGTCACTGAAATGGACTGGTTTTGTAGAGTTCGATGATGTAAATGGGAAGGTTCTTACTTATTCTGCACAGGATAGGTAAATAGTCTGTCTTATTGGTATACCTTTCTAATACACTATTGTCTTCTTGATTTGATTAACCTTCCTTTTGCTTCCGTTTTATTATCAGTATATACAAGGTGTTTGATCTGAAAAACCATACAATGTTGTACTCCATATCGGATAAGAATGTCCAAGAGATTAAGATCAGGTAGTTTGCATGCCTTCTTAAACAGTGTGTCCGTTTTGTATCAGAGTGCGCAACAAACAAGACTAACAAAATAATAAGAATATTATTAAATAAACGAGAATGCTGAAACGGCTACAAAACCCTAAGAGGCTATATTGTGACTAATTTATTCTCAACTGAGTAACAAGCAAGTTATTTATAATAAACTAACTTTAATCTTAAAAGGTAAGAAACCGAAACCCTAATGCTAACAAGCTAAGCCCAGAAAACCAAACATTCAAATAAATTAAAATACAAATATTTTCCAACACCCCCCTCCCCCGGTCAAACTCATGACGGTACACGATATGAGTTTGCCAACAAGCAGATGTGGATGCAAGCCTCCAAATTTCGAAGCCGATGTCAATGCCGATACCGATGTCGATACCAACTTCCAAACAAACAATAAAAAAAACAAATTTTTTCTTTACCTGTATGGGCCTCAAATAAGCAACCAATTTTATCTTTTTCTTCTTTTTTTTATTTTTATTTTTTTTCCTTCTCCTAAATCCAATGATCTCAAACTCATAGATGCTGTCGTTGATAAATCCTTCATCTTCGTCAAGTATCCTCTTCCTGTTCCCACTCCTGACGGTACACACGCCATCTGCGGTTGCTTTTCCAAAACGAACGATCGATCCAAGTCTCCGCTCCTCTTCTCTTCAAGAGGCTTCCCCACATCAGACTCTTTCAAACAAATTGATACCAACGAGAACAGATTGAACCCTAAGGATCGAACCCGCTCTGATACCAAATTGAATATCATAGTGCGCAATGAACAAGACTAACAAAATAATAGGAATATTATTAAATAAACGAGAATGCCGAAATGACTACAAAACCCTAAGAGGCTACATTGTGACTAACTTATTCTCAACTGAAGAACAAGCATGCTATTTATAATAAACTAACCCTAATCCTAAAAGGTAAGAAATCGAAACCCTAATGCTAATGAGCTAAGCCCAGAAAACCAAACATTCAAATAAACCAAAATACAAATATTTTCCAACAAGTGGACATTTGTGTCGCTTATGATTTCCAATTTTTCTTTTGTTTCTGTCATAGCCCTGGGATCATGCTGTTGATTTTTACTAACGCTAGTAGCCATGTTCCTCTTAAGATTCTGTCTATAGAGGATGGTGTTAGTGTTTCTGAATTGAAGAGATTTAAACTTAAGAAAGAAAGCTTAATTAATAGCAAAAACAAACCGAAGAACACAATGGAAGATGAATAGTTTTCTTCTTCTCTCTGTCAAATTGCAGAGAGAATATTTCTCTGTGTTGATGAAAAAACACGAAGCACATGCTTTTACATAACTGATGGCCTAGCACTTGGGACCACACATACACTACATTTCATCCTAGACACACATCTTTCTAATCTCATGGATCACTCAACACATGGCACTCATGGCATTTTTACAAAACTAGACATTTACACTTTGCCTCATTTGCACAAGTGAATACACCAATTCAAAACAGAAACTTATTCTAAAAAACTTTTCAGCTCAAATACTTATAATTCAACACTCCCCTTTAAGTTTTGAGCTGATTTCACACCAAGCATATCCCTGAGAAAGTTGAACCGATCCTTAGCCAAAGGTTTTGTGAAGATATCTGCAATCTGTTCTTCAGTGGGATAGTATATCAAATCAATGATTCCTTCTTGCAGTGCATCCTTAATGAAGTGATACCTCCTATCAATGTGTTTTGTCTTTTGATGGAACACAGAATTCTTTGTGATAGCAATGGCAGATGTGTTATCACAGTGAAGAGGAGTGGCTACAGTTTGTAATTCTCCAAAATCTTCCAAGACAAATCTCAGCCATATTGCTTGTGCTGTGGCTTCGGATGCACTTATGTACTCTGCTTCTGCTGTGGACAATGCCACACACAGTTTTGTTTGACAGAAGCCCAAGAGAACACACCACTGCCAAAGGAGAATGCATATCCTGATGTGCTTTTGCTGTCTTCCAATGAACCTCCCCAATCACTATCACAGAAGCCAATTAAACATGATTTTTTTTTTTCACATACTCCAAGCCATAATCCAGAGTTCCCTTGATGTATCTGAGTACTCTCTTTGCAGTCCCATAGTGTCTATTGGTAGGACAGTGCATGTACCTTGCCAATAAACTAGCTGCATACATTATATCCGGCCTTGTAGCAGTGAGATATAGAAGGCTTCCCACAATGCTCCTATACAATTCATTACTTGCAGATCCACTTCCATCATCTTTAGACAATTTTTCCGTAGCTACCAAAGGAGTTGAGACAGTCTTTGCTTCATTTAAACCAAATTTGCTCAG